AGATCACAAATGAATGATTTAAATGTGAAAAGGAAGGATTTAAAAAGCACATGTCTATTTTAAAGAAACTGATTCTTAGACAGTATTCAAAAACCCACAAAACCCCTGACTTGCTAACTAAAGGTTAAATCTAAGAATATTACAATAAGGAATAACATTTAGGAAGGAATTTTAAATTACATTTTACAAGAAATGAAGAGTAGAATGTGGCGTCTTTGAGTTTTAAACTTTTGAATTGGCTACACTGGGCTTCACGACTAATAAGACTAAAATATTAAGTAAACAATAAAAATGTTTACCATTCCTCAAGTGTTAAAGTGGACAAAGAGTCCACTCTAAACACAAGTTGTAGTGTCATTAACAGAGTAAGGACAAAACCTGAAACTAAATTTTAGCCATTTTCTTTCTCACCCTTTAAAGCTGTTTTTTTAGTCCAAATAAAGCACAGTTAAGGTCACTGTAATTATTTCTGGTATTTCTCTTCTGTCTGATTTGACTGACAGGCTCTTTGCTGAGGTCTAATGTTTACCTACTRGCCTCGGGCACCTACAGCTTAAAGAACTCCCCCCTTCTTAATACCGCCGTCCCAGAAGTAATCAGTCAAGAACGGTGCTCAGACACTTTTACAGCTCCTGTCTCCAAGTCTCATTAGGAGAAACGCTGCAGCCTCTCACTCCTCTGTCAATACCGAGCTGCTGGGCTTCAAAAGAAAGAGACMGAATAGGAGACGATCACATGATCCAGGCGAACAATCCACTCCCCCCCCATCATCCCCACGCTACATCAGGCTCTTAACTCTTGAGTCTTTCTCCTCCCTGAATAGAAGAGCCAGTCGCCCCGGGAAGGCAGAAACTCTGACATTACGATGCGCGCCACATYTCTATTCTTTCAGCGTCGCTCGTGGCTGCGGGGCGAGCGCTCATCTCACTGCACACAGCGCTGAAAGGATGCTGTGGATGTGGGATTATTTCGCCAGCTATTCTTACACTGTCATGCAAAAAGCCCATTATCCAATTTTATCTTTCCAGCCTGCTTTTCGAACGAAATCCAATCTGTTTTCATTTCAGGTGCACAGTCGGCCGTACGTCCACAACCGTCTTGGCCGAGATCTGCAAGCGCCTTCCTTTAGTTCCAGAGCTAATAATGTTRGCTCAGGAACAAACACCATATACAACATCTGTGCCCAAATAAGTTTATATATATTACTAACTAGATACTTCATAGTGTATATGTCCCCGKACATACAGAACACCAGAACTCACATAAGGGCTGTGGCTGTTTTAAGGACTCGACACACGGGAGGCGACGTCGCTCGCTCTCCATTCA